GAAGGGGTTGGGTGAATGGGAAGGGGTTGGGTGGATGGAAGGGGTTGGGTAGGTGGGAAGGGGTTGGATGGATGGGAAGGGGTTGGGTAGGTGGGAAGAGGTTGGATGGATGGATGGATGGGAAGGAGTTGGGTAGGTGGGAAGAGGTTGGATGGATGGATGGGAAGGAGTTGGGTAGGTGGGAAGGGGTTGGGTAGGTGGGAAGGGGTTGGGTGAATGGGAAGGGGTTGGGTGGATGGAAGGGGTTGGGTAGGTGGGAAGGGGTTGGATGGATGGGAAGGGGTTGGGTAGGTGGGAAGAGGTTGGATGGATGGATGGATGGGAAGGAGTTGGGTAGGTGGGAAGAGGTTGGATGGATGGATGGGAAGGAGTTGGGTAGGTGGGAAGGGGTTGGGTAGGTGGGAAGGGGTTGGGTGAATGGGAAGGGGTTGGGTGGATGGAAGGGGTTGGGTAGGTGGGAAGGGGTTGGATGGATGGGAAGGGGTTGGGTAGGTGGGAAGAGGTTGGATGGATGGATGGATGGGAAGGAGTTGGGTAGGTGGGAAGAGGTTGGATGGATGGATGGGAAGGAGTTGGGTAGGTGGGAAGGGGTTGGGTAGGTGGGAAGGGGTTGGGTGAATGGGAAGGGGTTGGGTGGATGGAAGGGGTTGGGTAGGTGGGAAGGGGTTGGATGGATGGGAAGGGGTTGGGTAGGTGGGAAGAGGTTGGATGGATGGATGGATGGGAAGGAGTTGGGTAGGTGGGAAGAGGTTGGATGGATGGATGGGAAGGAGTTGGGTAGGTGGGAAGGGGTTGGGTGCATGGGAAGGGGTTGGGTGGATGGAAGGGGTTTTGTGGATGGAAGGGGTTGGGTGGATGGATGGATGGGAAGAGGTTGGGAGGATGGGAAGGGGTTGGGTGGATGGGAAGGGGATGGGTGGGTCGAAAGGGATTGCGTGGATGGATGGATGGGAAGGGGGTGGGTGGATGGATGATTGGGATGGGGGTGGGGAGGTGGGAAGGGGTTGGGGGGATGGATGGGA